ACGAGGGGGGGGGGGGGGGGAGCAAGCAGCCCACAAGACATCTAGGAGAAGCTGTGTCAAGAGTCTTGATGAATCCACAAAGAATCTTGAGACACGAGCCGAAAGAAACAGGTGCCTGGCCACTTATGATGAGTATTTATCCATGTCTTATTTGTCTCTCTGATGAAGAGGATCGCTCGACCAGATCTTCTGCGACTCTTGGCAGATACTGTCCGTGTATATATGTATAACAAACTAGAGATACAGAAAGAATGAAATCAAGAGAAACAGAATGTACGCAATCGGAAGTTATAATAATAAGGTACTAATAGATTTCATTTAAATAATCATACCTAAACGTTTTCGAGAAAGAAACGGGTGTACACACACCCGCACGCACGTACATATATATATATAGTATATGCGCTTACGAGAGTTAAAATAATCGGAAGAGGACGTTACGTAGAGGGAATAATTACCAGGAAAAAGATAGAGTAATCGGAATTCAAAGAATGAGACTTTAAAGATTAATAATAAAAATCATAAATATAAAGTGTCGTGCCGATTTACAGCGAGGTCAACGGGCGTTAGGAAGAGAGTAACCAGGTCCGGCGAATGTGAGAAATCTCATTTTGATTCCGAGGTCAAAACATTCTCGAGGTGCCGTCGCAGATTTATTTCGAGATACGTGGTGAGCCTCGACCCGCGAATGCGTCACGCGGTAATAACTCACATCAACCGAATTTTCTGTACAGCGCGAAGAACAAGGCCCACCTAAATACATTATTCCTACCTGGTTTTTTCCTCAATTCCTAGCGCACTTACGCTTACATTCACACACTACTTGCTCACTCATTCGACTTGGCGATTAATATCGAAGGGAGGTTTATTTCATTTCATTTCTTTCCTTTCTTTGTTTTTTTTTGTTTTCTTTCATTCGTTTCGTACGACTGGAATCAGTAGGGTTGAGAGTAATTTAAAACCGTGGGGGGAGGGGGAGGGGGGGGTAAACAGCGCTAAAAAATTGAAAAGAATAAGCGATCACTTGATTTGCAGCCATGGATGCTTGAGGCACTGGGCTGCCGTTGCACGTGTACTCGGGTCGAACTCTAGCATCGGCGTTAGGAACTCGGCGAACTCGCGCGCTTCGCTCGGCGACCAGTCATACTTCTCCGTGAGCACGTCGTACAACCCCCAGGGTTTCAAACCCGTGATGTGCCTAAGCTCTCCTTTTTTGGTGAAGAATATTTTAGAGTGTTGCCCTGATAGGGCTATACGCCGTGGAATTTCCCCAAGGAGTTCTATGATGTGAGCCAAGTGATCTTCATCTCTGTAATTAATATACAATAATACGATATATTTGCCAGGGTTATATAAGAGATTAAAATACTATAGATAAAGTTTAAATTTATCACCTGCAATAGTCTTCACCACTATGAGGCTCGAAGAGATAATCTCCGGTCGCCAATTCGAAGGCCATACATGCTGTTGACCAAATATCTGCGGAAGTGCTGTATCCTGCACCTAAGAGGACCTCCAATGACCTATATTGCCGCGTTTGAATATCCTCTGTAAATTTCTTATGCACCCAGCACGCATTTCCTAGATCCGCTATCTTCACTTCTACATCGCAGTCTACGATGGCTGGATCTAGCGGAGCCACTGAAGCTCGTTTCTGTTGCTTTGTCTCTGGAGGATTAGCATTTCGACCTAGAATTTGTCGAAGGTTAATAATACGTTCACGTGTTTTAAGGTTAAGATTTATAGTACCTTCACTACACTCGTCAGTGTCTTCGGGATCTGGAGGTAAAATACCCTCGCCACAACTCTTCTCTACGTCGCAGAGAGTGACGTGTTCTAATTTCTGGAACTCTTCCATAGATTGATTTTCAACTTTCTCACCGCCTGCTAGACCATCGACTCCATTAACGTGGAGTGCCGGGACTGAAGGCTCCGAAATATCGGGTGAGCCCTTACTCTCAGTATTGTCCTCGATACTCTCAGTGTTAACCTCCTGATCAGGACTGTTCGTTTCGGGTTCCCCATTTTCTCGACTGTTATTTGCCAGTTTACTCTGCTCTTCAATCTCCTCAATCTGCTCCATTTGCTTCTTAAGCAGCTCGTTTTGCCTTTTGGCTTTCTTCTTCAGTTTCTTCTTTTTATTCTTCGACATCTTCGCGTTCGCCGTGGGTTCCTGAAATTCCTTAGGTGCGGTCGAAATTAGGGACACAGGAAGTTTCAAACCGAGAGAATGTAGCTCTGTCGCCTCGGATGCCAATTTTCTTATGTATGTCTCATCGACGCATATCAAAACGTTCTCCGGCTTGATATCTGTATGAATTATCTTACCTAAAAAATAATTTCCTGATAAATTCATTTCTATAATCATGAGTTACTTGTCGCAGTATCTATCTAATGTGAGTTGCGCCTTCATAAGCATGCTAGACATGACTTTCGGTTCGTATACGATCAGTAACAAATATAGTTTCCCGTTAGATAAAGACAACTGTGGCTACTTACACTTATTATGAAGATAGTCCAGGCCTTCGAGTACTTGTCTGATTATGCGCTTCACATTATTCCTGGGGATGCCACGGTAGTTCGACTTAATAATGAGCTTAAGAAGGTTGTGCCCTAGGACCTCAAAAACCATGCAAACATGAAGACCATTTATACCACTGATTTTAAAATCGTTTAATAACTGGACCGTTTTATTACGCTTAGGATCACTGGGGTCTGTATCCCGTACATCCTTTAGAAGTTTAATTTCATCCAATGCAGTCTCTGTGAAATGGGATGCAGATTTCACCACTTTCAGGGCAACAAAACGCTTATCCTGAAAGCAATAAGCACTTAGTTTTATTCTGTTGATAAGAAAAACAATTTCTATACAATCATAAATTATAAAATTTACCTGTAAGTCCCAGCAGAGCCAAACTGTTGAAAAATGTCCCCAGCCAAGTTTACGTGTTACATGATACCTGCTAAGAAAAAGATCTCCAATTTTAACAGGATGATAACCACCCTTGACATAATCACTGCTATCTTCCTGTTCTTCATCATCACTACTGTAAACCTCGTCATCGTCTTCAATGGTCTCATTGCTTGAGCTGTGGCATGGCTCCAATCTGATTAATATATAAAAGACTAATTATTCTTCAGTAATCAGTATGTAAAATCCAGAATAATGATATTACATAGAAAGTAAACAACCTAGCAATCAAGTATTATCAATAAATATATAACACTGATTCCAACATCACTTTACAGAGTTATCGATACCAAAATGTTTGAAAGTATTCATTTGACTCACTGGCTCATCGACTCTAATAATTACAGGCATACTCTTACCTGTTACCATTGCCACTGGAGAAGGGTCTCTGTACAGCTGCATCCTGATAAAATCCACTGGATTGACGAGTGGTAGGAGCACTGGATTTAGAGCACTGTGGCCCAGGATTTTCGGGATCTGGCTGAGAGCCGCCTTTACCCTTACGTTTGCCGGGCTTGTGGCGTTTCTTCTTGGCCTGAATCGCGAGGACTCGCCTATTCACATCGGTCTTCGTACTCATGGCCGACTCGTTCGGGTCTTCCCGGTGGTTCTTCGTCCCGGGTAGCTCTCCGTCTGGACTCCTGGTTACACACGGCTCGGCCCTTTTCCTCTCGTGTTTTATCGTTGTCTCATCTCCGTGTCGCGCACCCTCGCTCGGCGGTTGTTTGAGTATGGCCGACTTTTCTTTCAGCTCGCTTTGCGGCCGTTTCCTCCAAAAATTTATCAGTAGATTCACACTTTGCTAATTCCCGGCAAGGGGACGAGTTATCCTTCCTATTACAACCGAGGATGCAACTAACTCGCAATGACCGATTCCTTTTCCTGGTTGCCTTGCTGATATCGCCGCTTATTTATTCGAGCGCCTTGTACCTCTTGCTAGTTCCTTGCCGTGGCACCAGAATCCCGGTTTCCGGTCACTTCGACAACCAGTACCGTACACGGAGGACGTTCTTTATTTCCCCATTAACATTCTTACTAATCCCAAATCTATTTAATATTGTTAAATTTTATCCCAAGTTCAAAGCATTCAACAAATTTTTATAACACTTCCTGACACTAAATAAAACACCACACGTTGCAGCTTTACACCGACTGAGCAAATGGTACTCAAGCAACCACTGCCGTTGCAACGTCGTGATGTGATCTATAACCATTTTCCATAATATTTATAGAGCTTGCAAAGAGATGGCAGGATTGTAGATAGAAGATGCTGCCATCATGGGGAACAACGAGAAACTCAATCAGCAAAACCTCCGCTGTCAAACATATACATATGAGAAGAGAGAGTAGAGGATATGCTTGATGGCCTGGGATAGTCTGGGACATCAGCAGATTTTTTATACTAGAATCTGAAACGGTCCTTCTTCCTCACTTCAATTCAAATCTCCTTGCTCTTCTGGCGCTCAGACCGTCCGTGGCGCCAGTCACCCGTTACTGGAGAGACTCTAGCGCGCAAGTACTTTGCGCAAAGTAGTTTTATTATCTCGTTCTGTGTTCGGGTGCCGTTCGTTAGTAGATGCTAGTTCGTTCGCAGATGGTAAAATGTGTGGATAGTGGTGCCGTTTATGGTGTTGTGTCTCACTTGAACAAAAGGATTAGTGATAACAGGGACGAAAGATAAGAACGCTCCTGATCGTGATTTAAAAATTTGTTTATATGTTAATAACGGGGTGAGCGAGGGCCCGAACCTCGACGGAAACGCACGAACCTACGCGAAAACGATCGCCGCTCTATTTCACCCGCCTGCAAAATATAGTCTCTCTCGATCTCTATCCTTTATCTCTATCTTCCCTCGTTCACGAGAAAGACATTGAACTCCCCAAGAATATTTTACAAGAAATAAAAAGCAGCATACGAAAGCGGCGAAATGTCATGCAGCTATGCGGACGGGCTCTCGCCTTACGAGAACAAGGGTCAGCTGGGTCTGGAGGAGGTAAAAAGTCCCTTCTGGTCTCTTCCATGGGTCGCCAGGCCGAAATCGATACCATACAAACAATGGCGCCCTCGCTCTACCACCTTCACCTCCTCTACCACCCCGGCTGCATCTTCACTCCTTTCTTCCTACTCTCTTTTCTTTATTCCAGAAGTTCGACAGCGACGAGACTCTGCGATTGAAATGTGGACTTCTTGCCGATTGGATCCAGGCGGCCAGACATGTTGTTGTTCATACTGGAGCTGGTATAAGCACTGCTGCTGGAATTCCAGATTTTCGGTACGAGAGCTACTGCATTTCATCACCGTACTGTCTCTCTTGTTTAAGCGCTCTTTTTTTTATTCGCGTCCATCTTTCGCTTTTTCTTGTTATTCTTTTTCTTTCTTATACTCTTTGCTTGTTTCCACACTGTGAAGGCGTGTCGGAGATCTACTACGACTGCGTTCTCTCTTTGTTTATTACGGGCAAAAATAGATTGCCACTTTGGTGGGCATCCCTAATCGACGCGTTCCATTCATTTAAATTACTGTATACTCGTCAGTTTAATTGCGCGCGAATATATTCAAATATAACCGCCTTTTAGGGAGCTTCACAGTTTTGTTAGACGAATCGTAGAGTCAGACAAAATTGAGTTTCTGATTGGTCACAACTTTCCTTCGTACATTTTTATTAGCCAATCAAGAGTAGTTTTCTGAGTTTTCAGCTAGTACGATTAATACGAAAAAGCTGTAAAAGCTTCCCTACTGATTAAATTAGAAACTCTCCCATGAAGCTCTTTTTACCATTTTCGTTTTTCTTTTTAACAGAGGGCCAAATGGAGTGTGGACGTTAGAACAAAAGGGCCTAAAACCTGAAATGAATATTTCTTTTGATGAAGCAATACCCACAAAGACACACATGGCATTGAAGAAACTTGTTGAGGATAGTATGTTTTTTTATTAAATATATAAGGTGTGTTCCAACATTTATTGTAAGTACTGCGAATATTATTCTATCTCTTATTTTGTCATATATCTCGGAAAAGTACAAGAATGTTCGCAGTAATCGCAGCACGTTTTGGAACACACATATGGCTTAACCGTTTTCATTCATGATTTTACCTGTGCATTCTAGAGAAAATCAAATTTATCATAAGTCAAAATATCGATGGACTCCATTTACGATCTGGTATTCAGAGGCCTCACCTTGCAGAACTTCATGGAAACATGTTTGTGGAGCAATGCGATAAATGCGGAAGGTAGTTGCACTACTGTTCTTCCTTATTATACTTTATCCTCAATAAATCTATTAATGAGGTATAAAATTTGATATTTTAGACAATTCATTCGCAATTTTGCGACGAAAAGCGTCGGTAAGAAGTGTCTCGAAACTGTTTGCCGATCTGAAAGAATTGGCGGTCGTCCTTGTCGAGGTCGTATGCACGATACTATTTTAGATTGGGAACATAATTTACCTGATAACGATTTGGCTCTATCAGATCTCCACTCCAGGTTAACAAACTGTCTTAAACACATATGGAAATCTTCTGAATTTATTTAGAATTTTAATCCTTAATAATCTGTACAATTTTAGTGTGGCAGACTTAAGCATATGTCTAGGGACAACTCTACAAATAATACCAAGTGGTAATTTACCATTGTATACTAAAAAATATGGCGGACGTCTTGTAATATGCAATTTGCAGCCAACGAAACACGTAAGACTATACTAAGTGATGATTGAAAAAGCTTTTACTTGGAGTGGTATGATATAGGATGTTACATTTTCAGGATAAGAAAGCTGATCTGGTGATAAACGGTAACATCGACAGTGTAATCGTCAGCGTAATGAAGAAATTAGGTATAGAGATTCCAGAATATAGAAGTGATCAGGATCCAACGCGAAATTCCGACATGACATCAAGTGAAATGGACTGGACAATCCCATTGAGCCGTATAAAAGAAATGAAGATACTGTATAAGAAAGTATGCAAACCCATGAAGAGAAAACGAAAAACATTCATGTATGAGAGAGAAAGAGTTGATTATACAAAGAAGATTAAGAAAGAGAAGAAGACCTTCTCTGTGAAGCAAGAAATCAAGGACGAAGAACTGGACGAGGACGAAGAAGAAGAAATTGATAATGCATCAGATAGTGAGAAGAATGAGGATCCTAGTCAAAATTAACAAAAAAAAAAGGACTAATGAGAATGAAAGGAATGGTATTCTTAAAGTATAACACCAAGAGCAACTCCTAAGAGAGTTTTAACGTATCTCATTATGAGATCCTTAAAATGTAATTTCTCAGATTTGCTTTTTTCTATCGTAGACTCATTCTTTTATTCTTTTTCTCTATCTAGTGAAACGTGAGTCCCGTGAGAATCCTGTGTAAATGATAATCGACCGGCTGTAATCCTTTCAAGAATTATCATGAGATAATAGGTAGGAAACGGCCTTGGTTTTTAACCGGGAGCTCGATAAATTTACAGTTACGAAAATTCCTACCAAATGACGAACCATAATGCTCTATGACATTATTAGAGAATGATTGTTGAATATTTAAATGATTTTCAATGTTCTCCACTTATTTTCGATTTCATGTACGTGCAATTGACGATCTTTGATTTTTGTTCGCTAAAAGAATGAAATAGACATATTGAATATTACTTTTAACGTAAAGACATTGATTAGAAGTTATAATTAAGATCTTACTGAGTTGCTTTTACTTTGTTCACTAAGAGCTTAGAGTAGTCATGCGATATCTACGCTATGTGTGGAATTAAGTGTTATTCATTGATTCTAGAATATTAACGTGTCGTTCGTGATTCTGAATTTTATTCATAGAACTATAATGTACGCAATGAAATAAAGCTTCTTATTTTTATACCTACATTCTCATGCAATTTTCACTTTAAATTACAAGTTTATTACTTCATGGAAGAATAGTAAATAATTTAAAACCCAGAAATAATGTTTATGTCATTTTATTGATCTGGAAAAGATTTACTTCAGAGGAATGAACCGAGAAGAATGAGTTGCACCAATACCAGGCCTACCGTGCTTAACTGGCTTGTAGGTTACTGAGAATTCGCCTAAATAATGGCCAATCATTTCAGGCTTAATTTCAACCTGATTGAAAGTCTTTCCATTATAAACACCAATTATTGAACCAACCATTTCTGGGACAATGATCATGTTGCGAAGATGAGTTTTAACGATCTCAGGTTTCTCATTTGGTGGTGCCTCTTTCTTAGCTTTACGCAGTTTCTTGACCAATGCCATTGGCCTGCGCTTCAATCCATGAGAAAATCGCCTGCGTGCGCGGGCATGGAGCAACTCCATAAGTTGCTCACTAAGAAACAAAAGAGTACAATGAATTCCCATTTTCATGATTCAAAACAAACAGCTTAAGTCAACAAGCTAACAAAAATCATAATCGTCAGAAACGATGGTTAAAATAAATATAATTACTTGGGCATGTCAAGGAGTTGATCGAGGTCAACGCCACGGAAGGTGAACTTCCTGAACGTCCTCTTCTTCTTCTGAATTTCATCAGCCTGTAAATAATATTGATGTTAACATGAGAACATGAACCTCAAAACCAGTCCCATGTATACGAATAAACCATTCAAATACACAATTAATATACTCAATATGCACTAAACACAAATAGAAATAGCTCTCTAGCAATAATTTTTAGTTTATATTAGGGATTGATGATATTTCAATGGATTTCTTAATAACATGTCTAAAATCATACCTCTGCCATATTTGCGCGTGTACTAGAAGGAAGCAAAGAACACAGTTTCCCCACAGAATATACAACGTTATGAGAAATGCTGATATTCTCTGATTTACACTTTCACTTGGCGCTCCCTTTCGGAAAAATTCAGAACTAATATGGATACTCGTGAAACGAAATTTGATTCATTTGATAATCTTTACTTTCTGAAATTTAGTAAAACAATAGAACGAATTTCTTGACACTGGCACATCCCTTTAGAGGAGGATGTCAAATGGAAAGGAAAGAATATCCTGAAACTTGATCCTTGTACAATGGGAATAAAGTCGAGAAAAAATATGAATTTTAGAAATATTCCACAAGAAATCACTGATATTGGCTGCATCAAAACAATAAAGTTAACAAAAACCAGTATAAAAGTAATTTTAAAATACTTTATTAGGTTTCTTACTTCATAAGTGTTTATTAGAACCGGAATAACATTAATTTGTATTTGTAACTGACTACTATGATTTTACTAAATAACATACACAGTTATTTAAACATTAAGACTGTAATTAAACAGATGCAAAAATCCACCGACACATCTGGCATGAGCAAAATATTCTGAAATGTTTGGTTCAATGAATTTATCAGGATCATCACCTATGAACCTAGCCTCATCAAACAGTTTTCCAACTTGCCATCCAGGGTAATCCTTCATAAGGTCAGCTTCTGCGTCTCGATTACGTCGGACTTGTTTAAGGAACCTGCATAACAATATAAAAGCTGATCATACCTATGAAGGCAAAATAAAATAATAGAAAGAATGTGTCATACTGTCTATCCCTCTCAGCCTGCAACAGAGCTTGTATTGCAAATCGTCCACTCAATTGTTCTACCCTTTCTCGCCTGATTTGCCGGTACTCATAAAACATTACGAAGAATCCAAGACCCGTGCAAGCAGCATATGTAAGTAAGGTTGATTTGGCTGTTTTGAAGACGAGAAATAGTCTCAATAAAGATGTGATTGTTTACGTAATCATTTATATACAGACGAGGAAACAAAAAATTACGTTGAGGAATTATTTATGTTACCTGATAAAATCTGGCGTAATTTAATTCGCTCAAATTGCACAGGGCCATATCCTCCACTCGGTGGTAAATCCTGGGGCCCAGTTTTCACTGTTCCGGTCGCCATTTCTCTGGCTGAAAGACTGCGATATATAACTTCGTAGAGTATCGTTCTCCATTACGAAATCTTGGAGTTTTCATTAAGCCACCGTTTTCTGTTATCGTATTAAGGCGAGTTCTTAAAAAGAGCGTCATTCTTTGAAAAATTGACGGGACCTTCATTGTCTCAAGAGTTCCCATAGAAACGGATGAATTTCGATTTAATACCTTTATTTGAAGAGTGTTTGCATTTAAAGAGTGAAATATGTAGTATTACAGCGTCCATTTAAAATATGGAGAAAAAATCAAGAACGGAAAGTGCAGAAGAAAATTCGACATTGCCCTTATGTAAAGACTTATTAGATGAAAAAAGATGGAAGACTGTGACTAATGATTCATTTGTACCACCAAAATTTGTAAATGAACGCATGATTGGTATGTTGATGAATTAAAGAACCTGAATTTTATAGAATTATAATTGTGTTATTAAATTTGTATTTGATTCTCAATGGAGTAGGTCGCCGCAGAGAATTAGTGAAGAAATTTTTTGATCTTCATGTATCACAGCAAATATATAAAGAACTGACAGCAGATCCACCAATTGAACCTTTGTTACCTACAGAATATGTAGATAAATATTGTGATTCAGAATTTATTCCAATTTTGGATCGTTTTCAATACAATACTGAAGTAGGTTCGCATTTGGGATATATTCTTATTCTCTTCGTTTAATAATTTAACAAATATTTTTTTGTTGCAGAAATATTTAAAATATCCATTATATGGTGGAGCAATTAATACTTATTATAAACAGCAATTAGATAAAGGATATTTAAAGGCTCGTGCTGAAATATATAACTTTAACGAACCTTTTCGCAAAACCAGTTTTTTCACGACACCACCAGATCTCGCGAATCGAGAGCCTAGGGGTGGTTTCTAAATACATAATGTGATTTTCTTATGACGTATCAGTAATTTTAGAAACAACATTTTTTTTCTTGTAACTTTCATTTCTAAGTAAAAATTGTATGGATTTTCTGAATGAATTCTCAAATTTTAATTTAAAATGTCGCTATTCGATTTATCGATTACAAAATGGCAGCGTTTTCAAGGCGTCATCCCTCAGTAAAAAGCGTCCACAAAGTTCGCCTTGAGAATATTGTCGAAGTTTTCAGGTTACCTGTTGTCGACGCGACTTCTTATTCCGAATAAGTATTTTAGTTTTTGTGGTTAGAGCAATTGGCATTTTCCACAAAGGATTTTTGAAGGATTGTTAGAGTCTTTTGATGCATGCAACCCTAGAAGTTTAGGGTGAATTGTTGTCTTTCTAGGAAACCTCTGAATTAATTATTCTACGAGAATTCTGTGAAAATGAGTAGAAGAAGAGTACATGATGATGATGATGGATATGGTTTGTACCAACTGCTTGTCAATTTTTAGTATATTTATTTTTATAATTTTTATGTAAGTTGAATATGTATTTGCCTACAATTTTTTCAATTTATAATGAATTTTTTAAAGAACGTGTATACAAGAAGCGCAGACGTGTGTCAGAAAATCAAGAGATTGAAGACCGGTTGGAGTCTCTTATACTACGAGTTGGAGAAAAATCAACGTCCTCATTGGAAAGTAATTTGGAGGGATTGGCCTCTGTTCTTGAAGCTGATCTTGGTGTATTTCGGAGCAAGATTCTCAGAATCCTAACAGACTGTGCAATTAAAATGCCTGAGAAATGTACAATTTATACAACATTGGTTGGATTACTTAATGCAAAAAATTTCAACTTCGGTGGCGAATTTGTTGATTATATGGTGAAGAATTTTAAGGATTCACTGAAAGCTTGTAAATGGGATGCTGCCAGATATTCTCTTAGATTTCTTGCTGACTTAGTCAACTGCCATGTGCTGTCATGTGGTTCGTTAATGCAATTATTTGACAATATGCTGGATGCTGCTAACGAAGACAGTGTCCCACAAGTGAGACGTGATTGGTACAGATTTATTTTATTACTGTAAATCAAGAAGTTTGGTCTTACAGTTTACTTTATAATCCACTACATCTTTAGGTATGTTTTTGCTGTACTATCAACCTTGCCATGGGTTGGCAGAGAACTGTATGAGAAGAAGGAACAGGAATTGGAACATTTAATGGTGACAATTGAAATATTTTTAAATAAACGCAGCAAGAAACATCAGCCTGCTCTCAGAGTATGGTCAAGCGACACTCCGCACCCTCAAGAAGAATATTTGGATTGTCTTTGGGCTCAAGTTCGTAAGCTTAGGCAAGATAACTGGGCAGAGAAGCACATTCCACGGCCTTATCTAGCCTTTGATTCTATTCTTTGTGAAGCCTTGCAGCATAACTTACCAGCCTTAGTGCCTCCACCACATCATGAGTCCTATCTTTACCCCTTACCTACGGTTGTCTTCCGCATGTTTGATTACACAGATTGTCCAGCAGAGGGACCATTGCTGCCTGGCAGTCATGCAATTGAAAGATTTCTCATTGAGGAGCATCTGAGGCAAATTATTGATAATCATTACTTTGAAAGAAAAGATTGGTAAGTTTTCACAATATTGAATATTCCCGTATCTTCTAATACTCATATAGCAACTAAATAATCAAGTATTACTCCATATACTCAGCTTTAATATTATTTTTAGTGCGGCACACTTGCTAAATTTTCCTTACAAAGCTAAAATTCCATTAGACTATTGTATCGTTGAAGTGATGTTTGGTGAGTTATTTAGACTTCCATCACCAAAACATTTGGAAATTTCTTATGGATCAATTCTCATTGAATTATGCAAACTACAACCTTCAACAATGCCACAGGTCAGAATACATTTTCACAATTCTAATAAAATATTTCGTTACTCTTTGTGATATTTAATTTTTTTAATATTTAATAAAGGTACTCGCACAAGCTACGGAAATTCTTTTTCGACGAATAGATAGTATGGCTGCTGCGGCTTTTGATCGATTCGTTTGGTGGTTTGCCTATCACTTAAGTAATTTCCAATTTCGTTGGTCCTGGGAAGACTGGGACTCATGTTTACAAAGAGATGCTGAACATCCTCGACCAAAATTCATTCGTGAAGTTCTACTGAAAGCTCTTCGGTAGATATTAATCTTATTCCTTTATTAGAATTCTATTTCTTTTTCCTTATAAAGAGTTACAATCACCCACAATCTCTCTTTCAGATTATCATATTATCAAAGAATTCGTGACATGATGCCAGAGACTTATGCTGAATTAATTCCTTTGACTCCAGAACCTATTTACAAGTATACTTCTGAAGGAGCGAGTAAGTACACAAGATTTTATACCATTAAGCAGTTAATACAGGTTCTATATCTTTCAATGTCTTACACTTGCAATTTTTATTGAAGACTCTTCATTTTTATCTTCGTATTCATTCATTTTATCCAATTTGGTTTGAGGATTTTCTTCCAAATTTCTTGAGTTTGTTATCACAGAAAGTGCCAGTTGTCTTAGCAAATCCTTATAAAGTTTCAATTCATTAACTGTCTCAAATTTTGTTTCTTTCAATGGCTCGAGCAGACTGGACTGTCCGTTCATTTTAATCCCGTTATCAAATTTCTTTGTATTTTCCTTATCTAGAAATGATTCCATTTCATGAACAGATATGTTTGTTGTATTCATTGTGTCTTGTTTAGTCTTGTCCTGTGGAAATATATTAGGTAATAAATATTGATTTCCTGAATCATTTTGCTCCTGTTTTTGGTTTACACCAATATTTGTCAAAGTAACAGTTGCTTGTGTGTTCGGTGTATACATCATGTTAGATTGTCTTTCTTCTACAGTGTTGCCATTATTTAATTTTTCATAATTTGTTGAGCTGGGATCTATTATATGCGAAACAGTGGTCTGAGAATTTTTCTCTGTTTCGACAATAGCAGTTTGTTCAGGTAGGCGCACTTGGTTCTTCGAATACCAGGCAGAATCATTCTGTTTCCAATCCATAGAGCCATTTATATCTCTGGAAAGATCACGATGATAACTTTTGCTTGAATTTTTACCAAGTATAGATTTCCACAATTCATTGTCAGACCGAACAGCCTGTAATACTTCGTTATATATCAAGTTATAATAATCAGGAAAATTTGTAGGATTCGTTTCCGTATTCGCATGAGGTTTTTCTCGAACAGAATGATGATGATGAATCCTAGAATGATCAAAAGTATTGAAGGAATCCTCTGTTCTTGTTGGTCTTCCAGACTCATGCCGATCATGAGGTAGACCATATCCATAATTTTCTGCAGATTCCTGGGCATCATAATCTTCAATGTTTAAAATATAATCCTTTTGAATAATAGGATCTCTCATTGGTGGTTGAGGATCTTTTATGGTGTACACGTGTCCTGTATACCTTCTATTTTTTGTATTTAATAGTTGAGCATCTTTGAATGGAATAATATTAAATTGTAAATTGTAACGAAACGGTCCTTCCTTCTTATCAGTATTATGTTCTCGTATTCTTCTCACACTCCATTTTGCTCTTCTTGTAGAATCTTCTCGACAGGCGGGACACTCCGTACAATTCTCTTGACAGAAAAACCAGGAACCATTTTCATTTATCCTCAAATCACCAGATGAGAGTTTCAAAATATCTCCATCAGAATCCATTGAATAACTAGGTTTCCCATAAAATGGAGCAGTGAGAATTGCTTTATAAATTTCTTCGTTGAACAATGGCTCTGCTGATATTGTCTTGAAAATACTTTCCTTTAGCTTTTCAGTCCAGTAGCCATTCGAAAATGAAACACCCTCACTTACTTTGTTTGTCAAATACTTGCTTTCAGCGGTAGAAGCAACTTGATCCACGATAGAAGTAAACAGATTCCCGTTGGTTACTGACTGAATCGATGCTAGTACCTTTTTTTGTTAATGAAAAAAAATAAATTATTAGAACTTCATTCTTCATTTCATATTATATACTATAATGTTTAATCTTATTCAATTTCTTATCTCAAATATCTGTATCATCAGTTTTTTAACATTGAACACTAATTCATGATATCGATAGTCATACGTTTGCATTCCCCACAGTTTAAATCAGAAACATCTTAGAACAGTTGAAGCGCTGTGATTGCTCTTATATAATTGTTCTATAGACTCAAAACCCAATAGCATTATTTTAATTTCTTCTATAGTGATCCAATATGAAGTAAAGTATGTTAATTTAGAGAAATTTAGAGAATTAAATGATTCTTACCAATAAGATACAAGAAAGGACGAAGCAGCGCTGCTTAGATGAAGTCATATTTCACGTATGAAGTCTCCATGAAAACTGAGACGTATTGTTAGGCGAGGAGGACTATGATAACATAATCCCTACTACTCCCTGCCAAGTGCGTTCAAACAAATGAATAGCGCTTTTAAACAAATGTTCTCTAATATTTTAACAGGCTCCCTTCCTGGCACCGCTGCTGCTCATGAGTTGGTCGTATCGATAAGGCGTAAGTGCACTCCGGAGGAAGTTCTCAATGTCCTGAATACATTACCGGGACCTGGCGAGAACGAGGAATCAAATACCTTCAATCCTCTGAAGATTGATGTCTTCGTACAAACTTTACTGAATCTTGGCTCGAAAAGTTTTAGCCATAGCTTCGCAGCTATAAGTAAATTTCATTATGTCTTCAAGGTGAGATTCACGAGTGCTGTCACTAGAATTAATCATCAAAACATTGATGTATAATTGTGGTGCATAATTTACAGGTTCTCGCAGAGACAGAAGAAGCGCAAATATGTATATTAAGAAATATGTATGCGTTATGGAAAAATCATTATCAAATGATGGTCGTTCTCACTGATAAACTTCTTAAAACGGGTATCATTGAATGCAGTGCTATTGCTAATTGGATATTCTCACGCGAGATGGCATCAGAATTTACAAAGTTAGTATTTCATTGTTCAGAGTGAAAGGTTAATTTTCTTTTTTTTTTTCATTGAGCATATGTATACATATACCGTTTCTTTTCAGATTGTACATATGGGAAATATTGCATCTCACTATTCGTAAGAAAAATAAACATGTAATAAAATTAAATACGGAGCTACTCGAAGCCAGGGAGAAATTAAGGAGAGCTGAGAGTAGGTCAGGATCATCTTCGGAGGACGAAGATGCTAATAAGGAGAAAGGTGGTGAAAGACCGTCGGAGGACGTTGTAGAAAGAATGGAAGAGAAATTGGAAGCAGCACAAGCCGATCAGAAAAATTTATTCCTCATTATATTCCAGGTATAAACCTCGTTCAAAAACTTTGTCTGATTGGACATATGTATGATAAAATTGTTTACGTTGTTGCTTTTTCTAGCGATTTATAATGATACTCTCGGAACACTTAGTGAGATGTGACACGGACGGGATCGACTACAATACTCACTGGTATCGCTGGACAATCGGAAGGCTGCAGCAAGTTTTTCTGTCGGTGAGTTTTCAATTACTTGTGATTATATTAAGCTTTATGGATAATTTTATTTAACAGCAAATTAAAAATGGTAGAAGGTTTAAAATTACTTTCTTTTTAGCATCATGAACAAGTACAAAAGTACTCGTCGACTTTGGAGACGCTTCTTTTTACACCGGATTTGGATCCACACATTCTGGACATTTTTCATCAATTCGTATCTCTGCGGGCGTAAGTTATCCGTAATATTTAATGACGATATTAAAGATCCAAAGCATTCTTCTATCGACGAAATGGAAAAGTTTATGAATTTCTGTTTTATATATTGATTGTGACTTGTTCCTGACATAACAATTGCGAAGTTGCAGAAATACTGCGGTATAAAATAATTTTTCATTTCATTTCGCAAATTCACAGTCGGTCACTGTCACGTTCAATTCTTATGACTCTTTTTCTTCTCTATCTTTAACATGTAATGATGGTGCCGATATTTTTCTCGACGCCCTATACAATATAGTAATTAAACATACGAGATCGATATGAAATCACTTTGTATTATTGTCATTATCTAATATTAGATACGTTATTATATTATATTGTAGTCGTACAAAACCGAACTATGTGGCATATGTCGTATTTTGATGTAACAGGGATTCTTCTTTATTAATTTAAGCATCGGGATCATTGAAAATTTTGGTGCTGGCGTGTTCGTCATAATAGCTTTACGTCTTATCCCTTAACAATAGGAGAAAATAAATTATGTCCTATGTACGATAGATCACGTTTTTATTGCACACTGCGCTAACTAAACGTAGTATGGATTTCATTTGATTCTTATAATATAGTGTATAAATTCATCCTTGTTTATATACATTTTGATTTACAATCATTTTTCAATTGATTAATTCAAAATGATTTGTTCTTTAAAGTGCATTATAAAAAAATAATATTCATACCTCCTTTTTATATGATTTTTAACCAAAAATAATCTAACAATCCTTGGGTAGTCATTATTTTGTCGAAATTTAAGCTTTTATTGGTCATGAGTTCGCTTTTAATTAAAAGTGATATGAAAGGGGAAGTGTGAATATGGATCAATGAGTCTAAACTTAGAAATTAAAGAATATACTAAATGTTAAAGGAAATGGTGAATTCATTTTACATATTAACAGACTGAAGTATGGAAAGAATTTTATGGATTATTTTAGACCTTACTTAATGCAGTATTTCTTGCGGGTGATACGCATTCATATTGTACAATCTGTGTGACATCTGAGAAATTGAATTCATAATTTGATACGTTGAGCAGTTTATTCGAAGATGCCGCCACAGCATCTTATTACATGATAGAAGATGATTTGATCATGTCGAGATTAAGTACTGACTATGAATGTCGGCTAGATGGTCTCAAGAAAATGAAATCTGGCGAGGATCAGTACTAACTTTTATGGAGATCGACGAGCAATAATAATAAACTGTCCACGAAGAAAATATGTTTCGAAAAGATCAGTTTCATAAGATAATAATTGATGTAAAAGAGTCAGCTTATATTAAATTTTACTTGTGGATCGACTATCCATATACAATTATGCTTGATCTTAGAAACTCAAATTCAATTTTAATTCACATCTTCTCCGAGACATCTGAATATATTGATACTTCTTACTAATTATTAATTCTATATAGTTTAGACTATATTCTATTAGCACATGCTAAATTTTTCTCCTTAAGAATGTATAAGAGCAATATTTTCTGGATTGATGGACTCAAGGAACTTCCGTTAAAAGGATCGCCAGATTATTTCTATAATCCTTTATTGTCTGTAAATGTGAGGCCCAATTTCCAGGTACGTTTTTGTCAGAGTAACATTATTTCTAAACGAGACAGTATTATGATTTTTTATACATTGTAGTAACATAATTAGTGTAAATGTCATGTCGCATAAGCTCAACTAATCTAAACACAGTCTTTCGCATTAAATGCACAAATAGATTCCAGAATAAGGTACAGATTCTAAACGCTTCTATTGTCTGTTCCCTTACAAATTCTTATGTTTCCTAATAATTTGCAGAACATCTTGAACGTCTTCGGTGGATCCCAGGAATATAGGACACCTTTGATGAATAGATATTGGTACAACATCGAGAATATCAATTTCTCCAGTAGATGCCAACCCTCCAGCTTGTGTCAATATATAAGCCATTGGGATGCACTCGTACAGCAGTCGAAGCTATAAGAAATATTTAACTCATTTTCAGAACGATTCCAAAACTAATGTTCCTTTGTCTTAAAAAAAAAAAACATTTTTCTAGTCTATCTACCTTGCCGTTCGGATTGTCCGTAGTAGCTGGGTACATGAATATTCCACCGTACTTAATTGTTCTGTGAACATCAGCCACCATGGAACCGACATAACGAGCACCATAAGGGTTCCCAGTGGTAGGGTATTTTTTGGAGTGCACATATTCCTTCACGGCATCATCCCACTTATTCTCGTATCCTTCATTAATACTACATCAGATAAAACATAATATGATGTTGTACATGATCAAGGTCAAAGAAAAAGATTCTAATCAATCCAAGTATTACCTGTATATCTTTCCTTTAGAAGGTACGCGCATATTTCTTTCAGTAAGAATGAACTCTCCAATGGCTGGATCATAAGTGAAGCCATTAACTCCTTGTCCAGTCGACAGAACCATCATCGTCGCAGAACCATAGAGAGCATAACCAGCAGCAACAAGATTTCTTCCTACTTGTAGAGCGTCGAATGCCGATGGTCTCTCGGTATTTTCCAGCTTTTTATAAATTCCAAAAATCGAACCAATGGATACCAGGCAGTCAATATTTGAGGAACCATCCAGAGGGTCAAAACAGACTATGTATTTTCCGTGCTGTTCTGTTTCGACTTCTATAGCCGCATGATTCTCCTCGCTGACCAGGAGGCAGGTTGTGTACGAGGAACTTAACATGTTCACGAAGAGTTCGTTACTCAAGACATCGAGTTTCTTCACTTCTTCTCCCTGGACATTAGTCGACCCGGCGATGCCATACCTGATGTGAAAAATTAATTCTTTAGTCTTATCACAGTATTTTATTTTTCTTTTCATAATACTTCATTAAATCATCGTACCGGATACCTTTATTCAATTTTCTATACTAATTAGTTTCTTCATTAAATTGTCATTAATCCTCACGACATTAAATATCAATTATGAAGTGCTGACTGTAATGTAGCATTATACGTAGATTGGCATAAATATTACAGGAAGTTCCTTGTGTACGTAACGCGGTTCATCTTGTTGATGTGTTTTAATTAAAGGTAAGAGGATTTATTAAAGAATTTTATAGAGACTAAAGTAGAGTTGTGCCAGTATTTCGAAAGGTAAAATGTTTTCGTGGATAACACGTTAATCTTATCAGGATTTATTATGTAATTTACGATCACTTTCACTTAGAGTCGTTACAAATTATATATTTAAAAATTATATTTGACTAAGCTGAATTTTAAAATTAAATATTTTTGTGTAACATTACATTACGCGTATTATCCAATTACTTACAATTTCGTACCATTATTTATACGACAACATGACTCTAATCCTTTTTAACTGATTAGTTATTTTTAATATTATCTCAATGCTGGTTTATTTTATGTAATCTGATAGAATACTTGTATCAACAATTCGTACGAATCAGGTCTCATTGGTTTCTCAACTGACGGGCCCACGACTAATTAAACTATCTTCGAGATAAGCACTGTAAGCACTCCTCCAGAGATAAACCGTGGTCGGGTTATCTTTTGGACGACCCTCGCTGTTTATTACTGAATTTTTCAAAAGGTTTCTTTAATATTTTATATAACGCATCACCCTCTCTGCTATACATAATCAATAGTCTCCCTGTTTCCAATCAAAATTATTAATAGTGTTTTGCTGACGTATCATATTTCTAGGTGGCTTTAATTAACGTTCTTATCTCTATTTATCATCATGTATGCTAATTTAAACTATAGTCAACTAAACGTAGCTGCCAGAAAATACCAAAAATACACGTCATATATAGTAGCAGATAATGACAGTGTGGTGTCTGTTATGAATAATTAGATAAATTAGGTCCGATCAAACAGAGATAAATGAATTATATATCTAAGGAATTATTGTACAAGGAACAGCTAAATGTTGCTCTAAAAGAATAAATATGAATACAAATTGGCACACATTAATACTAATGCATATGTAGTAAAAGCTATATCTATTTTAAATTTCTAGGCAAAACTCACATGTTGGCGATGCCAGCTTTCCTTACGGCCGAGCTCACAGCTTTCACGGCTGTCTGAATGCTGTTTAGTAGCTGCGTCAGGTCGCCGGTAGCTGTTGGAATCTTTTTCTGCTCAGCGAGAACGAACCTCGTTAACGTCATGCAATTCGAATCAAATGCCGATCCGCTTGATGTCATTTTGAATGAATTTCAAATACCTCTTAATCTTTAAGTTATGGATCTCTATAAGATTACGACGCTTCAAAGTTTTCACGCTTACTGAAATTCCGATGCCTTCACATTCTCTTATATACTTACTACTGGCTATATCGTTATCTATCCTATACGTGACAAATGGAATCGGCCTGCGGTTGTGGTACTGATGTAAGAGTGTAGCAGGATTGCAGGCGCACAGTCTACCATTCGTAAACTGAATACCACTATTTGTATCTACAACGGATTTAACCTCAACCTTTGGGTGGTTCTTCATCTTAATTTTCCAATAATAATGATAATTCTAATTATACTTCATTACTGTCAAATATACTCGGATAGACATTATTTCTTTTAATTTAAATAGGACCAGGAAATTCGCTTCGCGACAAAGGAGTGGTAGGAAATTGCAAGAGTTTTATTCTGAAAATGTACATTATCATATCCTTTTTCCTCTATATTATCCTATTTTTGTCTCGTACATTATGCTGTACTTTTGCCCGTATATTACCCTGTACCTTTTCCCGTACATTATCCTGAAAAGGATCAACGAGTTCCTTGCTGTGGTATTCGGAGTCCTGGATTCCTCGTTGTAGTCTTTGGAGTTACAGAGTTTCTCCCTGTAGTGTCGGGAAAAAGTAACGGTGAGCAATGCAAAAGCTCCCAAAACTACAACGTAGAACTCTGAAACTCCAAAAGCTATAACGGAGTCCTCGGAGTACAGCCATTCCTACGTTGAATAAATTTACTGCGGACTGAACTATATTTTTTCGATTCTCATAGGTTGCCACGTTACGTAACGTACGCTTGTCATATGTTCATCATATGTTCCGACATGAAATTTCTATTTGACTCAACGTTTTCACAGAATCAAACTCCCACTATTTATGAGTAATGATTCTATTCGTATTCCTGTACCTTATAAAGCATACACAAAAAGGGACCATTATTCTTTCGACACATTTAAGATAGGTCAATGTTGGTTGAAACAATGGCGCACTTAAAGGCATTTAATCCAATATTAATCCAGCGTGCGTAAGATTGAGTTTGACACACAGAGGTCATTTTCAAACACTCAAATTAATAAAACTACACAAACACAAATATTTATAAGACTAAATATTTCCATTTTATTCGTTTCTTTTTTCTTACTTATCAATTAAATAATTTTCAAATGTTATATAATTCATAAAAATAATAACGAAATCAAATTTTGAAAAATATACCGTTTTACTTAGTCGGATATGTAACATCCATCTGACGCTCCATGTTATATTTTCACACTTTTACCCACGCCGAGTTAATTGAGGTGACATTATCTCGTAGTCAAATCTCCTATTGTCAATGCTCTTTTGCCAAAGTTAATTAATGCTATTGTTTATTGATTTTCGTTAACTTTACCACACGTTACCTTTTCCTAAAAAGCATTGGCAGTGGCAAATTTTGCTATGAAATTTTATATCGTTGTCCATATTTCTTTATCTTAACAGGTAAGCTATAAAAGTAATTTAATCATTACATTTTGATTATTATTCCTTAGGAACATTTATGTATATCTATCGTCGTTCATCCCACCTTTATCACTGTTATTGATAACGTTGTTCTGCTTCTGAGATCAATCCACGTAATATTTTAAAGGTGGGACCCTACGCGAACGACGCGATTCCTTTACACTGGCTTCCATTTTCATTTTCATCTGTTCTGCTATAGATTTCTGTTTCGTTTGATAGAGTGTGACTCTTTTCGTTTCGAAAATGGTTTCGTGTGCTGCCATTATCATTTTAACAATTGGAATACTTGTGGCAGGCGCTGGTGCCTTTTTGAGATATTGGCTTTTCCCATTGTTAGTCGAGCAACAAGTTACTAAAGTATGTATGGTCTAATTACATTTAGTATTAAACTAGTGCTTCCGTTAAATGAATACTGTAGATTTATAGTATACTATCGATACAAATTCTTAATTCTTATTTTATCCTCAATGCTAATTTGTATCTATTCGTTCGTTGCAGTCGGTGAAGTTAATCGCAGGGACAGACGCTTATGAAAGATGGGAAGAATTACCAATACCCATTATTTTTAAGGTATATTTCTTCAATGTGTCAAATCCCGAAGAAGTACATGAAGGAGGAACACCGAACGTTACGGAAATTGGACCATATATATACAAGTAAAAAGTAAAAAAGTTGAATTTATGAGTAAAGAATGAATTTTCGTTATAGCATTATGATTATGCAATAACAAAAAGTGTGAAGCAATTATTGATTAATTTTATCAGATATCTGTGTACGGTGACGTTAATTATTCCACAGGATTTTATACAAGCAAGGAAAAATCAATCGCTCTGATTTTGTAGATAGCCTTCTAATTGGGATTTAATGTTCAGTAATTATAATAATATTTTTTTTGCAGTCAATATAGATCTAAGGTAAACATCACTCAAGACAATTCTGATGTACTTTCTTATTACCAAAATGCAATTTATGAATTTGATGAAAATGCCTCATATCCTCTGACTGAACACGATAGTATAACCATTGTTAATTTACCTCTGATGGTGAGTAATTTTATGAAAAAAAAAAAATAATAAGGAAACAAATAAAAAAATTAATGATTCATTTGGGGAAATAAAATGTTTCAGTCTGTAATTACTGTTGCGGAACACACGGCCGGTTCCTCGTACAGCCAATTAACAGCTTTAAATTCAGCCGTTAATACAATCTTCAGTAATCCTAGTAACGTTTTCATAGAAACGACACCAAGGGATTTTTTATTTGATGGAATTTACCTAATGTGCAATACATCTTTTCTTTCAATCATTACAAGAACGGTTTGCAATCGTATTGAAGAGAATGCACCTGTAACGATGCCAAGACTGAGTGATGGACGCTTTAGATTTTCTTTATTTGATCATGTAAGTTTATGTAATATTTATTGATATCATTTTATCTCAAGCATTTCGATATAAGTCAGTATGGATTATACTAATTTTATTGGAGGAACGACATAGATAGTAAATATCTAGTTTCATTGTGGAGAAATTGATGTGGAAGCTCGTTAGTGTGTGGCCACAAAATAGTACTGGAGCACGTAAACAATCTTCAAAGATAAGATTACAGAAAATTTCATGACAAGGATCTTACCGTGGGTACTGCCATTGGTATTGAAAGTTCGTTAATATACAAAATTGATGTATAATAAAAGGATTCTCTGTTATTCTTAGAGAGAAGCCTTTTCTTCTTCTGTTCGTTAACATTAATAATTTCAATTACAATTGCGCAACGTTTTTTTTTTGTTAACAGAAAAACAACAGTAACGATGGCCGATATTCTATAAACAGTGGAGTCGACAATGTATCCCTGCTTGGTGAAATTCTTTCCTGGGAAAATTCCACCATGGTGGACACCTGGAGAGAGAATAGCACATGTAACAATATATACGGATCTGATTCAACTATCTTTCCACCATTTCGGACTCCTGAATCCGATGTGAACATCTTTAATACGGATATATGTCGTACGGTTCGCTTGGAATATATGGAGGATTCTACATTGTCTGGTATAATTGGACACAGATACGTCAGTGAAGAACGTATGTTAGCATCGCCCACAAAAAATCCGGATAACGAGTGCTTCTGTTTGAACAAAACAAAAGGTATTCGTGGGGATGATGGATGCTTGTTGGATGGCACGATAGAACTTTGGGATTGTCAAGGTAATACATTATGGAGTAATGGTAATACATCACATGGATTTTGTTGATTTAAACCTTATTCATTTATTTTTCTATCGGTACAGGAGCGCCTATAGTATTGTCGCTACCACATTTTCTTCTTGCGGACGGACAATACCAAAGTGGTGTTAATGGACTGAATCCGAATGTTTCTCTTCATCGAATATTCATTGATTTGGAGCCCGTGAGTATTGTTAATTAAGAAAACATAAAAAAAAAATTGGAGAACTTTGGAATAATATCAGTAGAAATGAAAAACAAGTCAGGGATATCCTCTTGAATTATTTGTTTAATTTTATCAAATTTCCGGGAGCCGCTACGTATTTGTATGTAGACGTATGTACGATTTTTGTAAAAGTCGAGTAATCTCAAAGTAAATATTAGTGTGGTTTAACAGAGGTTGTTATTCAAGGATGTGCATTTTTATAAAGGTCGTTTAATTGAATTACAATTCTCTTCGAGTGTAATTCCTATTACTTTCGGATACAGAAGGACGTCGTTATTTTAAATTTGATGCAGATTTAAGGAAGTATCCATGTTCAACGTATTTCCTTTGATTTATAGTACACCGGAATGCCGCTGCGTGGAAGCAAGCGGGTCCAATTCAATATTTTTTTAAGAACAGTTAATAGAATTGCATTGACAGCAAACTTGAATACAGTTCTTATGCCAATTTTTTGGATCGATGAGGTAATCAGATTTTCTTATAATAATTTAGTTTATTGCTATTTATCTCTCAATAAGAATTCTTCTGTGAGCATTAGCCATAATGATATTTAAGTAATAGCGATATTGTTTGTGATGCAGATTGCGTTAATAATCTTATTATTATTAGTATATCGATAATTATAAACTATATATAAAGATTAAGCTATGGGATGATTTACGTGCTGACTGATGAATTAGTATAATGTCAATATTCATTACACTGTACTTTATTTTTCTATTTTAGGGCATGGAATTGAATGACGAACTTATTGAAGAGCTGCAAACAAGTTTATTTGATGTGTTACGAACATTAACAATTATCCAATGCGGTTTTATTATCGGGGGGTCCGCACTGGCTGCCCTGGGTATTTCTTGGCTTTTAGTGTCCTGCTGTTTATTATAAACCCCGAGAACGTGACTTTGAATTAAAAAAATGATGATTCATTGGTCCAGTCAAATTTATTCTGTCTCATATTGTTTAAAATTGTGTGGCAACGTCTCTTATTAGATATCATTACTTTTATTATTAATTAGGATTCGAGTGGATTGCACAGCACAGGATTGTGTTACTAGCGTAAACGTCCCTCACGTAGACTCTATTTGCTTTCATTTGACTACTGGCACACCCAGTATATATATAGTATATCATTTACTGTAGTATATTCGTATCTAACTATTATGAGGTACTATTAACTTATTAACTATTAGCTGTACATTAGTGCCCCGATTAGTGTCACTGATGGTGTACATTTTTTTATTGCGTTAGTAGAGAATGGAAATATACAACCTATTAACGCGAAGCGTGTCTGATCAATAATTTAAAGTGATATAGATGGTAAACATTTTTCAAATATGTTTTATGGCGTCATTTTAACAGTTATAAGAATTTCTAAATATGGATGAATTTGTATACGATGCAGGTTTTCTTCCTTATTAGATTTTCTTCAATAGTGAGTTCGTTAGTACCTAGCTGTAATCATCCAATTATATCTATTTAATTATGGCAAACGTCTTCTTATATTAGTATTCTAAAACTCATTGCTCTGCTCACTACAGATTTGGTTGTCTTACTCAAGGTCTTACATACAAGTCTTGAAACGAACGTGGTGGGGGTAGGTCGCTTAGTGAAGCAATTCCGCATAGAGTCGCTGTGATCGGATAACCGCATTGATGAGAGTCGCGGGGGGCCGGGAGGATCACTCCATCTCTGTCCTATTCACGGTGTTACATACAGGTCTTGCAACTCTTCATTTCGCCTCACGACCACAAGAGGCGTTGCGATTAAGTGATCCGTACCTATTTCTCTCTCCCACAACCGATTGCAGGTTATGTTCATCTGCGGAACCCGATCACAGCGCCGCTTGTTTGAAACTAAATTCAGCCTCAGTAAGCGACCATACCCCCACCACTGAAATTCGAGGAAGTTTCAAGACCTGTATGTAAGACCGTGGTCTTACTCAATTGCGGTGAAGAATGTAAGTAAACAAAGACACGACTATACTCGTTGTAGCGGTAGTGAGTTTTAGAATACGCCATAGATAAGAAATGCGCCGTCAGTTTCTCATGTTTGTTGCGAGATGGCGGCAATGTTTGTGCGTCCGTTGGTTTGATGGATAAATTTAACCCCAACAATGGAAGTCAAAAACAAATAAATAATAAACTATTATCCTTGCAAATTATATGATGGAAGAAGATCGAGTAGCAATAATTCATTTAGCTACTGATACAAAAATAATAAACGTACCATTCAGCGCTGGAACGACAGCAGAGGAACTATGTGTCAAAGTAATCTAATCAAGTATTTTATCTCACTTTTTTGAGTTTTTTTTTTTAAATAAAATCTTAATTACAAGTATGTATAACATTATATCTTGTTTTATTGTTTAATATATTTCAGATCTGCAAACAGCTTGGCATTGGTCCCGTCACAAGGCACCTTTTTGCCCTCCGTAACCGTTCTTCTAAACATTGGTATCCTCTAGGACATAAATTAGAAGGCAAAGAAAAAGCAAAATTCGACTTCCGAGTTCGTTTTAAGCCATCGAGTTTACAAAGACTGAAACAATTAGATATCAAGGCATATGATTACTATTTTCAACAAGCACGTAATGATGTACTTGATAACAATGTACCTGACATTGTTTATGAGAGGCACAAACGAGAACTTATAGGATTGGGTGTCAGCGATATGTACAGGTAAATGTTGTATAATAGCTGTATTAACTAGGATTGGATAATTATAATAAATTATACTGATGTAATTTTCACTAACGATGATTACAGAGTCATGCTCGAGAAAGATATACCAAGAGAAATTATTGAGTCAGATTACAAAAAATATATTCCCAAAGAATGCATAAAACGGCATTCCTTTTTCATAAAAAAACCAATTCATAATGCCCTTGGTAGAATATCAGGACATGATGCATCCTATGTCAAGGAGCAGTACCTCAATCAGTTTCAAAGTATGGCACCAAATTATTTATGTGAAGAATATAAAGCACTAATGGATCGTGGGACATCAAATCCTCCCTTGAGAGTTCTTTTAAGAGTGAATGCTGCCGAAGTGAAGTACTGTGACATAGAAAACAACCATTGGATTATCTTATGTGCCATAGAAGATCTCTGTTTCGTTTCCATAAGGTATTCTATCTAGAAAGAGATAAAACTAGAGATCTATAAAATTGTATGGCACAAAGAACGATTGTGTACAAATTTGTTTTCCTTTTCGGTTTTCCAAAGACAGGACAGTACTATTGAGATATCTCGAAAAAACGGAATTCCATCCTATTTAAAATTCGCAACAAATACTCTCTTGATGTCCTTTGTTTCCGCCTTAGATGGTTACTATAGATTAACCGTCAAGTGGACTTTTAATCTTTGTCGTGACGCCGTGACTCCAAGTTTGCAAAAGCTGCATAAACTGAAGTGTCATGGCCCTGTTGGGTGAGTAAAAAATACTCTTGCTACTTGTTCTTTCAATGAATGATATCGATTCTAATAACAGCATACTTTCAGCGGTGAATTCTCTTACGCAAAGCTTGAGGAAAAGCGTGGAAATCGTATCGGATCTTATATTCTACGTGAGAGCGAAACAAAGTACAATGTATATTATTTAGACATCTGCGGGAAGGATGGGAAACCAAGGACGCGGAAGATTGAGCAACTTGGATGCGACGACTTTATACTTTCAGATTGTGTGCAGCGTTACAGATCCTTACCACAGCTTATCTCATCGCATCAAGATTCTGAGGGACAGTTGTACCTCAGGGAATGCCTACCACCATCGGAATACGGTAAAATATAGTTAAAGAAACTTAAAACAATTATGCCTTCAAGAAATTAGTAACATCGCCTTATCATGTTCTAGACAAATCCCCACTGTTAATCTGTGCTGTTGAGGGTATAGGAAATGATGTAACTGTCGATGAAGAAATTATATCCGCTCTTCTTGAAGGAGGTCCCCGTTGTATTCCACCACAACAATTACAAGTATATAAAGCTCTACCCTTTCCCAAGAGTGTCGAGAGTATCGAAGCGAGAACTCCGTCGACGACTCTCTATAGGGCAATGTGGAGGGTAGCCAAAGGAAAAAAATTGGAAGCAGCGATAAAGGTCCTCAAAGACGATGAAGTAAGATGCACCAAAGAATTTTTGGAGCTTGCTGGAAAGTGGGGACAGTTACGTTCCAGTGCTCTGGTTAGGTAAAAATCGAAGAACAAGTATTTCTCCTAATCGTTGAGGCGACTGTGGCTTCTTTTGGACTATCTAATTTGTTTTCTTCTTTTTAACCAAAATTAGGTTATATGGCTTAACTGTAGCTCCTGCACTAGGGATGCTACTGGAATTAGTCAAATTGGGACCGCTGGATGCTTACCTAAAGAACACTCCTCCGGATTCTATTAAGACGGTCGACATGGTGGAGGCTTCTGCTTGTCTCGCGACAGCCCTATGGCATTTAGTGAGTTTCCTATTTTCTTCTCGACAAATATCATATGTATGTGTATGAGGCATGTATTTAAAATTCCTAACGCCATGTGAATCTCTGCTTCACGCAGGAGGAGAATGGCGTTGTTCACGGTAACATTAGGTGCCGCAAATTATTAGTTCACGCTCACACAGCTAATAGTTTCGTGGTCAAATTAACTGACCCTGGACTTTTCAGTTACACTCAAGCCGAGTAAGTCGATTTAGAATGAATTACTGAAGTGATAAGCTTTTATACTCTTTATTTATAAATAGCGTCCATTGGCTGCCACCTGAGTGTTTTGGAAATCCTGAATTAGCCAGACGAAGTCCTCAAGCTGACGTTTGGGCTTTGGCCACCACTATATGGCAGATATTTTCTAGAGGAGCTCCTTTGCCTACCCATCAAGATATTAACGCTGTAAAAAAGGTGCAAGTATATTCCTTGCATATTTCCCTCATACTGTACTTAGGATGATGTTTAACACTTACTCTATTTAACAGTACTATGCCAGTGGTAAACGTTTGCCAATGCCTTTTGGTTGTCCAACCGAAGTTTACAAGCTGATGAATGAGTGTTGGGGTGAAGCAGGTGGTGCACGAAAACATCCTCAAGCTATTATGAGAGACATCAATCAAATTCTATATCAAGTTTACAACTCTAGGCGGATTCACGCTTATTCTACTGTATTTCCAAAACTATTTAATGACACAGAACAAATTGTCGCGGATGATGAGAAAGACAACGATTCATCAGACTGTGAATCGAGGGCTAGCAGCCTTTTTACTGACAAAACTAGTTTACCCTGGGACGATGATGAAGATAGTAAGTATTCCTGCCGTACTGTTAAATATTTGAAAACTACAATTGAATATTTGTTATATTATCTCTGATTCTTTAAGGTGGTGAAGGTTTAGCTTATCAGGAAGCTGAAGAGGAATTGTCAGCTTATCTAGGCTGGTTGGCTGAAGCTGGAAGTAATGAAGGCGGTCCCTTGGGACAAATGCAAGGAATATTTGAACTCGATACAGATTGCAATGTTATATTTCAAGGAAAAATAGGACAAGGATTTTATGGAGAGGTTTATCGTGGTACTCTAGAGAGGGAAAACAATAAAGATGCGGAACCACAGTTGGTCGCAGTAAAGAAGCTAAAAACTAGGGCATTGGAGGCTGATTTGAGGGACTTCGAAAGAGAGATCTCGATAATGAAGGTAAATTAATTAAATGAAGAATAAATTAATTAAAATATCACATATAGTTATATTTTTTGCTCGGTTTTTAGACTTTGAAACATCCGAATGTTGTGGAAATTCTTGGTGTTATATCAGAACCTGAAGTATGTTTAGTTATGGAATTTGTCAAACATGGTTCTCTCCAAAGCTACTTAGCCATCCATAGAGAGAACCTAACGCATAAACGACTCCTGGGTTTTGCTTTAGACATTGCTACAGGTATGGAATATCTTGGACGCAAGAGTATAGTACATCGAGATTTGGCCGCTAGAAATATTCTTGTTGCTGACGAGAATCGTGTGAAAATAAGTGATTTTGGATTGGCCCAGGTTACTGGAAAAAATGACTACTATATCCTTCAGACCAACAGGGATCTTCCAATTAAGTGGTAAGCGTAAAAATATATAAATGTTTATAAAATTAACAAAATTTTACTAAGGGCATCCCTTGTTTTAATTCATCTTTTTAAGGTATGCCCCAGAGAGTTTAAGCGATGGCAAGTTTTCACCAAGATCAGACGTTTGGTCATTCGGTGTTACGATGTACGAAACGTTCAGCTTTGGGGAAGATCCCAAACTACCAGGAATAGGTACTGGACCAAACGGAGAGCCGGAGGAAGGTGGTGCTGAATTGTTAGCTGCTCTTGAAAGAGGTTCCAGGTTACCCTGCCCGCCAACTTGTCCCCAAGCTGTTTACGTGAAACTAATGTATCCCTGCTGGCATCTACATAGTCAACAGCGACCTGACTTTGCTACCCTGTGCAACGACATCAGAGACCTGATATCCCAATATTAAATCCAGTTGCAAAACCATGTGGATACTTCACCACATTCAGTGTCCAAGAACTTTTACAGACTCTCGCATAAGGTATAGTCGGAACGCGACATTAGATTTCAAATTTACTTCACGGAAAAACATGAAATATAAAACATTTAGCACTGTTATGATTAATTTGAGTAATAGCAGAATTCTTCCAATCGCCACGCCACGTCAGAAGGATTGAACTCAACTCTGGATTAGTCTAACAATTAGTAGAACTCTTTATTAAAGTAAAACATATGTAACCCATTCGCATGACTTTTTCGTAACATCGAACAAAATTAATACCTGGGTCTCTCTCTCTCACACACACACACATACACACACAAACATACATTTGTGCCGCTATCATAAGTATACTCAATTCAAGACAGGATAAGATACTTATGTCCATAATTGAACTGCACCCGGTAAAATATCGAAAGCGGGTTATATTCCATCTGTCAAAATAGGAGTCTGATGTCACCTCCCGACTGTAACTACCCATGATTCTTAAGGAATGTTTACCATTTTTTTATTACTTAATTATAATTACTTAAATTCCTAATATCATATTGGCATCTTTGAATATAAAACAAAAAACTGCTCTACTTTTTGTTACGTGTATTCAACGAGTCTAATTTGAATGAGAAGGGAATGTTCTTCAGACTGCAGACTTTGTCTGAATAATTGAGCGTGCTGCCAAGCGAGATCATCCTTGCCACCCATGAGAGTGGCACTCAAAAAGACCTTAATGGCGCCTTTGACATCGTCGTTAGTAGTGAAGGTATTGTTACAGTTACTAAGGCACAATATTTTACTTTCAGCATTCTGATAAAATGCTTCAAGTATCCATTGTATCTTTGCGCCGTGAAAAACTCTGGTAATTACTTGAAAACTGAAAGAGTCGATTCGTAGGCATGTATCAAGGACCTCAAAAGACCACTTGACAAGACCAGACTGTGCACCTGGTGAACGAGCCAAGTAAACTACCTTCCAATCTTCTTCTACCTTCCTGAAGACACCACCTTCTGTTGTATGGAGTCCCTTCTGCCACCCGGTTCTCTGCTCCAAAACACTGCCATCCTTTCCTCTGATATGGTAGATATCTTTTGCAGCATAGTAACACAATTCATATTGCCGAAGATCTTTTGGAATCTTCCAGGAATACGATTCTTTTATAGTGGAGTTGCTGACTTCACCACGTGATAATCTCCAAGTAAGGGATCCTGAACTTCGTCCCTGATAATCTTCATTCACGTGAGGCTTTTCTTTACCAGGGGGAGCAGGTAACATCTCCACGAGTTCTAGGAGATTCCGCTTCACCACATACTGTCTACGAGCCTCGCTGTATCCTGATGCAGTTTGTCGTTCTAGATTGAGCTTTCTGATAAATGAAATTAAAGCTTCTTCGGTGATGAGTGTTCGACGTTTCATCACAGATTCCTGATCCATCGTGTACCGCCACGTTACATCTTGAACTTCATCTCTGGAGAAAGCGATAATGTAAGTTAATTTTTTCCCCCATCCTTTTTCGTACATCAGCGGACGATCCATGACATTTTCACAAGGATCTGCATGTATCCATCTACCTGATCTTGGAGACCACACCTGAAACAGTTGGGGACAATTAACACATCCATTTGTTCTATCAATCTCTTCCCTTTAAACCCTTGCGCTATTTTCACGAGTCTGACTCGTGATGAAAATTTTAGACCAAACTTGAATATCACGAGTCAGGCTCGTTGTCTAATTTCATGCCAACCGTGAATATCACGAGTTTAAATCGTAATCGACATTTTGGGTCAAACAAATATCATGAGTCGAACTGGTGGTCTTAATCTCGAGTCAAGTATGAATGTCTCGAATGGGATTCTTTGTTCCAATGCAGGCCATGTGCTACCTAGGAGACATTTTCGTGGTGCATTTTCGATAATCGGTCTCCGCCGCTTCAGCTCCTTTCCCGACCATTCGAGTGCATCACTTGGGCATGGCTTCTTCCGAGTTAAATCGTAGTGCAAGGGGTTAATTCCAGCATTTGCATTCTTAGACTAGATTCGTTGAATTAGACTGCCGTCCGTTCAATTTAATTGCAATGGTTTAATAAGTGGTACGAACCTCAGTCCAAAGATGATCAGTTTTATCCCAAACAAGCCTTGCATCGTATCCCAATGATCGACAGAGTAATGTAAATATTCTAGCCCACTCCCCGCATCGTCCCTGTCTAGTGATTAAAAGTATCTGAAGATCCGAATACCTGGGAAATTTCACTTGAGTTCCACAGCTAGTACATCTGAAGGTAAGGCCATGAAATTTGTTAATGAAATATTCATTTTATAATACTTATTTAGCATGCTCCTTTCTTTTATAATCTACCTGTGTATTTCAATTCGTAATATTCTTGGATCTTTTGACTTCACAGTATATGAGTATTTGCATGGCCCGGAACATGCATAACAAGGGGGACTATCTACCCATTGGAAAAATTCTAATTTAAACCATCGCAACAATTCTGCTAGTAGTAAATTTTCTATGATAGTATCTTCTTCAGTATTTCCTTCATTTCCATTTACTTTTATGTCCCTGTAAAGAGATATAGTCAATTGTGAATAGAGGTCCTGCAGATTGAGGATAAATAAGAATTTTGAAGCATGAAAATTACCTCTGAACAGATCTTAGTGTCTGAACGACCCCAGTTTGTAATCTCGTTAATGGCACAATAGATTTGGCTTTTGCTTGCAAAGTAGGATTTTCATATTTTAAAACGTCGGCAAATTCTAACCTAATTTTATCTAGAAACTCCATTGATGTTACTGAGGATTTAGAAACAGTGGGTTGTATGCTTGGCTGTGCCACAGATTCTTGTCGCTGTGTTTTAATATCTGAGCTAGAAAGTAACTGACGCAACTCATAGGTCTTAGTCAAGGGCGCATCTTTAGGTAGAAAAAGATGATCATCTTTCTAAAATATATTCGATATATTTAATCTGCCTTAATATATCCAAAAGAATATATGGTGCTTGGGAAAATTACCTCAGTAAATCCAATTTCAAATAGACATTCTATGGCTCCAGCAGCAGGTAAAATTTTCTCTACTACAGTTGGATTACTTAAACGTACCTTACGATACTCTTCTTTCTGAGGATTGTCGATTATGTTTTTACAGAGAATAGAAAGAATTTTTTGAGCCTCCCTGTAGATTTTTTCGTCGTTCTCTCGTAGTAGATCCACATACCGTTTTAAATTAGTCATTTCGAGTACTTCAAGAATGTCTTCTATGGACGGCTATCCTTAAAGTCGCGATATATTTTTTAAAAGTTATATTGCAATGTCATAATTACAGTCTAACCTATAAAGAAAGAGACAAATCATCTGCCATCCAGGGTAACTAATAGAAGATTCTGCGTTACCACTACAAGATAATAACCTGGTCATTCTATGGCATATACAGTTTGAGTAATTCTCCTGTAGATGGTAGGAGTATCGAGATCGATATTTATCCAAGATTACTCCACGCCCTGGTCCAAATTTAATTTAAATCTTTTGCAGTCTGAGAATGTATTTAAGGACCTTTTTCGATATTCATTGAAGGACCATCCTGGAACAGTTTATAAAAAGAATTCATCTACCCATACCCTTCAGATTCGGTGCCTGAATGCTATCCCCCGATAGAGACTTAACCATGTTGCCTGATCTTGTCCTTTTAGATTCATCTCGTCATCCTCTCTATGTAGGGGAGCATAGCCAAGGCCATAGAAGGTAGACACAGGTGGTGGTTGTACTGGGATGGTGTTGGTTATGTCGAGGGTGATGAGCCTGGTGCGCCGACGGTGGTTGGCGGTGAAGCTCAGGAAGGCGTTCGAAGCGGTCGGAAACGATGGTAGACGTATACGCGTCCAATCTACCCCCATGTCCTCTATATTTCACGGGAATGGTGGCGACCGATACGATACGCTTGCGCGAATATCGCGGGGTTGGTTCGCATCTCGTACGGCAGTCTTATTCGAGTGTCCTTCAGGAACGGAAGGCTGTCCGAGGATTCGTAATCGACTAATCCTCGCGGTTACTCTTTCCACCCTATCCTCGTTCTCTCTTACCTGAACCTAATGTACCTGCCTGCTTACCTATTTGCTAATTTGACCATCTCCAAAGCTTAGTACATACCTATCCGTTTATTAACTATTGTTCCGGAACCGGAATTCCTGGTGCGTGCCATCAGCAACTATTCTCGGATAAGAATCCTCGAGAATTTAAACTCAACATCCTCCGGATTCCAATGATTCTGTTGTAAACGCCCAGTATTTACTGATCGAACCTTCCTCCGTTTTGGGAAAAAGAGGACAATGGAACACGAGAAAGATTCTACCGTATTCATTCACGTCTCCCTTCCGTCTTCAACCGGAAACGTGACTTGATTCTGTGCTTTTACTCTGGAGGTTTCTATACTCTGAAGCTTTGTAACTTTCATAAGGTGCGTGTCGCGTTTTTCAAATTTCCCGCTTTTTTTAAAACCTTAATCCTATCATTTAAATTCTCCTAATTCCAATCATTTTGCACAATTTCCCAAGTCCTTCTATTCTTCGCCAATAGTTCTTAAAACCTGTGGAGTTATACGTAGTGGAAGTTGAACAAGAGCTTATCCGTCGGCTGCTCGTCTCTCTTAACGCTGTCGTATAAAATGATGAAAACTTAAGGATAAACAAGTAAAGGACTAAAGACTTGCAAGCTTAGGATATGAGAACGATTGTGATGTCGTTCTTGCAGTAAGAAATAGTCTGTAAAATTGGTGACATAATTTAACACTGGGGGTCCTTTGTAAAATAAGGCTTTATCACGGAACTGCGCGCTATTATACTCGGCTGTGTGTGAGTGTATGAATTCTGCGAGAAATGGGACTTTCTAGGTGGAGTCCGGGGACGGGCTCTTTCGGGCCGGTCCCCCTTTGAGCACTCGCGACTACTTCACCAAGGAAGAAGAACAAAGGGAGAAGAGAATACGATTTTTGTAAAAGACAGAGAGACAGCGAAGTTATAGACCAGCTCTAAGTATAAACAGATGTAACGGAGAACACAGTGAAATATATTCAACTATTATAATTTGGCGTTAAATATATATCGGGTATAAAACAGTCAATGTTCTTCAAGAAATTAAATGTCACAATCTTAATTATCATATGCTTATCTACAGCTGTCTTAAACACGTATAGCGTGCAATAGCACAGTTTACGTATTACATATTTCGCAGCAGACAGATCGATCGAGATATCTCAGAGATCCCTAATCAAGAGAGAGAAAGAGAGAGAAGGAAAAAGAAGTAAAAAGACGAGTAGGAATAAGTGGAGCAGAACAGAAGTGAAAAATAAGAAGAATAGAAAATGAAGGGCTTACTGTTGGCATTGGGGCTCCTATTCGCTGGTAAGTCGGCTAATTTCATTCTATAAGGAAATAACTTGAAGTGTTATTCGCTGGAGAAATTTCTTGAACCGTGAAACATCCTTGATCTGCGTTAAATGATTTTTGCTAGTTAAAAAAAAAAGAAAAAGGTAAAAACAATCCAGTATCAACATACTGGGTTACGTCAAAACTTCAGAACGGCAATTTAAAGAGATACTCTGTCTCTACTAATTGGTACAGTTGCATGGCAGAATAATAAAATTATACTATATAATTTATAAAAAAAAGGACCTGCTCGCTGCACGACCGATGACGATAATCACGAGGATCTTGAACTGGAACCTTTGAATCGGGGACCATATTTTGACGTCTCGGCGTCGCACAACGTCACGGCGCTCGTCGGCAAAACGGCTGTGCTCAATTGCCGTGTACGAAATTTGGGAGATCGTACGGTACGTAGATAACTATATCTATAAGTACCAGAGCAGAAGGTACCAGTACAGACTGTATATCGCTAAACTATTACATTATACAGTCTACTGAATATATAATCGATTTGTTTGTTCGAATTATTATATTATTTATCATTAGAAAAGCGTGCTGCTATTAGACAGGTACTATACCGTTCGAGTTACGGTTTAAAACTCTGCCGCGGGATTGGTTGGTTGGTTAGTTGGCCTCTCAAGTTGGCGCAGAATGAGGAAATTTATATTAATTAAGAGGCGGGAGGATAAAAAGAGATGGAAAAATTAGGAAAGATTAATTCAAGCTGTCCGACGAGAAAATTCATAAGCTCCCTTGCTCTAGTCAGTGAGAAATTCAGAGTTCCTATGGGAGTGGACAACAGAAGGGATGGAAGCTAGGCGTGGAAGTAGTCGGACGGTGAGTGAAGCGACCAAGCAGTCAAGGAGGGAATACTTGTTTTCGTGCCGTCGGTCGTATGTTTCGTCTGCGTGTTTTATGGTCCGTGAGAAAAATTGGCCGCCAACAGGAAGGAAGGAAGGAAGGAAGGAGAGAGAGAAGATAGGAAGGAAGGAAGGAAGGAAATAAATGAAGTTGGTGAAGGTTCGTTAGAAGAAACGGTTAACAATTCGATAAGATAGTGTGGAATAGTTTTTTCTAGATAATAGACAAAGAAAAGAGATGTATAAAGCACAAGGATTGGAAAAGGGAACAGAATGGAGGAGGTAAAAGGGAAATGGAAGATATCGAAGAAACTTTTGCAATTCTTCCCTCGGACAGTTTCCAGTTCATTTCCAGTTTCGACGATTCATTTCGACTCCTTCTTCTCCTATACTATATCTCAGGCAGTACTGCGACTAACCACCACAGATATCAGCACTGGCTACAGGGGTAGTTTCAGGATTGATAAAAAAACTTTTTACCCCTTCCTTCATTTTTATTATGCTAAAGTAACCTTGTGCTTGCCTCTCATTGGCCGAAGCAAGTATGCATGACTTCCGGAAGGTAATAGGAACGAATACATGATCGATAGTAACGAGAATGACGGTCCCGCCTTAGATTAGAAATCCCTTAGGATTGTCGGGGAGGTCGGATCTCGTGAAAAATAAAAGGAAGAAGAGAGCAGCTATGGCTGCCATGAGACAAGCCCTTTACGTGATGAATAGCCAGGAAAACGTATTTCGAGGTGAACCCCGTGTGCTGAACTCACTCGCAAAGTATCCATTTATCTCTGTGGACGAGATAACCCTTTCGAGGAAGATAGAGATAGGGATGACCTGGTATCACTATCTTTATCTTTAGCTGAATGGCCGAATTCTCTGACAATCAGGTATCCTGGGTGAGACATCGGGACATTCACCTGCTGACCGTCGGTATCGACACCTACACCTCGGATCAGAGATTCATCGCTTCCCACTTTCCCAGGACTGAGGACTGGACCTTGCAAGTCAAGTATCCGCAACGTCGTGATTCTGGTATCTACGAGTGCCAAATCTCAACCACACCACCTATTGGCCATTCTATGCTTCTCTCGGTTGTCGGTTAGTTGCTTCTATACGTCCTTCTATTTTTTATTTATTTTCAGGCTGCTTCACCTTTTCCGTTCGCTCTTCATTTATTTTTTACTGAGCGGCTGTATAAATTATTAGCCTAAGCGTAAGTGTGCTCTGCCGACAGAACCACCAGGACTGGCATGCGAGGTTTCGCATCAGGGGTGCGTACAGGGCTACTACTTTCTGACTGGAGTCAGATTTAAGGAGGGTTCCCCGTGAGGATTGAACCGGTAGTAATTCGAGGGGAACTTGGGCTAAGGGATAAATATTTATTAGGATAATAAGGGAGAGATTCTCTGGCAGTGGAGATTCCCTTGCAGAGAGGAAGAAAGAGTGGGATAGAGAGAAGGGTGTCTGAAGGATTGAAGGATTAAGACGTTGAAGAGCCAGGACGGCGGTGCAAGCGATGTTTAAAATAATCGACTGGGAGCGAGAGACGCCATGAGAATGATTTGATTGTGTCGTGGAAAGTTTACGTCTAGATTTCTCTGAATTTACGGGGATTTAGCTGAGGGTGAGTATTGGCCAGAGTTAGTTAAGTTGGCTTGGAGTCCCGGAGACCTGCCATTATTGTCCAGGGTCCCGTTTCAGATTCTACTAAAGTCCAATATCGCTTAGCTGTCGTGACCGATTAATCTCTTAGTTAAACTCTATGCATAACATAGTGAGAGATAACAGTAGAGAGAGGGAAAGGGATTGTATTTCGAAGATAATTTTAGGGTTTGAGTGGCGAGTAGAGGATTTACCGATTAACTCGTCAATCAGGAAATCACGTGTACCGAGGTGAACCAATGAGACGTAATAATGTCATTGTGAAATTGATAGCTTCCATAAAGAGAGAGAGAGAGAGAGAGAGAGAGAGAGAGAGAGAGAGAGAGAGAGAGAGAGAGAGGGGAGGATATATAGAGTGAGAGAGAAAATAAGACAGCCCCACGTAGTTGTTGTAGATGGCGCAGACGTGATGTCGCTGTTAGAAATGGAAAGGCATTCCTAGTTAGTATTCCGGTACTCATGATAGTATTCCTGACCCGCGACCTCACGGTGGTAAGGCATCCTCCTGGTGAAGTAACTGACGTTAAGAAACACGCAGACAAGGAAGAACGTATAGTATACACGAGGGAATAGGACCTATGGAGGTTAGCTAGCTTGTAAAAAGGCAACGTGACCTCGACTTCGTTTGCCTTTACCTTGAGGTTCTATCTGCCAGAGCACCCTTTGCACTAGAGGAGTAAATTTTCGTCAACCCCTAGCATGGGAATCGAGCGGTTAAAGACATTGAATTGTACAAGTACGACGGTCCTATGTATTTTTGGCTGTGTTCTGCCCATAGAGCCCATCACGACCATCATCGGAGGACCGGATATATACATAAATAGGGGCAGCACCATGAATCTGACCTGCGTCGTGAGGCATAGCCCTGAGCCACCCCCGGCGATTTACTGGACGCACAACAACGAGGTCCCTTTTTTAAATCTTTCTATTTATATCTGTACCTTCGTTACTCGTTTTATTTCCACTGATACGTCATTGCCAGAAAGAAGGCGGAGATTAAAAGACACTGGCAGTGACGGGGCAGTGGCCTTTACAAAGAGATTGTGTGTATACGTACGCCAGTGGGTGTAATGATATTTCTGAACCCTCAGGAAATCAATTACGACAGTCCACGAGGTGGCGTATCGGTTATCACAGAGAAGGGTGAGATCACGACCTCGTACCTCCTCGTGCAGCGTGCCCAACCGGCGGACAGTGGACAGTACACGTGCCACCCGAGTAACGCCAACACGGAAGCAGTCTCGGTTCACGTATTAAACGGTATGTCCTTCTATTTATTTTGTGATCCAAGGTTTCTGACCTCCTACGGAGTTACTGGGGACAGCTCTTACAACCTGCCGTCGAAAACTTAATGACACGAAAGTTATCTTTAATATATACGTATACTCGTTATTTGTCCTGTACAGGGGAGCATCCGGCTGCCATGCAACATGGTGGACAGTTGAGACTAGCAAACCCACCTTTTGTCATCTTCTTGGCAATCTCCCTGACGTTTCTCAATCATCGTTGAGCGACGCGTAGACGTCGCGGTGCGACGGCAAAGAAGGGTTGCTGGAAAGCTCGCGCAAGGGAGAAAGATAGGGACGACAGGGTGGAATTTTAAGCGAACGATAAGGCCTCCCTTCAAGTACCGATAAGACACGGGCTGTTTTTATCAATCCCCTCTTCCTGAGCTTAGAACGCCTATCCCGTGCTCACGCAGCCCAAGGCTCAGGCCTCTGCCTTTGGTTTCCACTGGAAGTCCCTCAGCTCCTGCACGCGCGCCTAACCAACCATACAACCATTAAACCAACTATCCAACCAACCAAGCACGTTCCTTTATCTTCCGTTTACTGCTCCTGGACAATCTCAAATCTTTCCAAGCCCTGAAGTACCCATTTCCCGTACGTCCGAGCAGTGTTATGCACGGCGAGGGTGCGAGGGTGCGGAGTCAGAGTAAGCGTCGACGGGGTAATGTACATATTTTGGCTCGAGGGTGTCTGGACGTTCTCGTGTACAATCGACAAGGCAAATCCGTATCTTGGATAGTACACGTCCTGTTGTGTACATTCTACTCGAGGTCTGAGGTGTGATGCATTCCTCAATATCGAGGGTGTCAACGTGTAGGGGTGCTCGGTACACAAGATATACACCGCATCCCCTAGATGTGTTTCCTCTTGGGAGAGTCAACCCCTTTAGTAACACGTCCGTACCCAGGCACCCTCCAGTCAGACGATAGCGGAGAGCGCTCGCAGAGGTGGAAGGTTACCTTTGCACGCTATCCTGTATACTTAATAGACTCGTAGACATAAATCCAGATTTAAGTGCAGTTTAGAGCATAATGCCTGGCATTACAATTTCTTCCCATTACGAGCTACTACCTTTCGTACCTTCCCTGAACCTTCTCACCTCCCCACTGCTCTACATCCCCCCTCTGCATTACCTACCTACCGTAACCCATCTGCCAACCCTCTACAACTAGCGTTCCCCTTTGGCGCTACTTTTCTCTCTCGCTCATCCTCCTCCTATCTACCCTCGTTTTCGTACCTTTTATTTGACCGCCACTAGGCTCTACCATCAGCATCAGCATCACCATCACCATTGCCATCGCGACCAGAACCAGTAGCAGCCAGGCCAACGGCTGTACCAGTAGAACTAGGATTGGAATCTGTAAGGCCATTAGCAGACTACTCGTTCTTGGGAGAACGAGACGTTCCGAGAGCTAAAGATGGATGGAGAGAATGTAAACTATGAGAGAGAGAGAGAGAGAGAGAGAGAGAGAGAGAGAGAGAGAGTGCGTGAGTATCTGTACGTATGTACGTATATATTTGTATGTATGAGGACGCAAGGCATAACGGAATGAAAAGGAGGGAAACTGTAATAGCGAATTGTAAATATGAGACTGCGCAAGATTGTAAAAGGGGACAGAACTAACAGATTATGTATCTAATATTCGTTGGGAGATTATGGCGTATTTATTGAACCTAGCCAAAAGAAGAATGTGTATATGCGTAGCTTTAAAGAAGAGCGACACTTTTTATCCCCGGTCACAGTGTCGCAATGTCACAATGTCCATACCACCTCCTGCTTCGTTCATCCCTGATGACGATTATTGCCATGGGGACGTTGGAGCTACGTGGCGGGGGTGACGCTACGTGAGAGATGCTCATATGAAATAAATCGAGGTACGTACGTGTTGATACCAGAGAACGAGTATTATGTCTTTTTATTCACCTAGAGTCGTGATACCTTTACCTACCAGCGAATATTCCCAGGTCGAAACTCCCCATCCTGACCTGACGGTCGGGCGACTATCTCTAGATGTACTTTTTTTCATTCGTGATAATTCATTCCTCGATTACTGCATACGGACTGTACTCCGGTGGACCAAAAAGGACGTCGGCAAAAAAAATGTTGCTTTACACAGTCCAAATAGTTTCAACCGCTTAAAACTTTTTTGACGAAAAGTTGTGTTTGAATCGAGTCATTTTCCCCAATTTCGTGATCCTGTCTAAAGTTTGGAAAGCCGTAATTTCTAAATTGTTTGACACACATCGTAGCTACCCTGTAACAGTTTATGCTCGTTATATTCGTGATGGTTTTGAATGTGAAAACTTTTAGGAACATTCCAAAAAGTTACGAACGGATGATTATGACTGACGATTTTCGAACATTTTGTCGCGGAGGTTCAAGAAATTGGAAAGATTATAAAACAACCAGCGTCAACCAGATACAAAAAGCGTAACCTTGCATTACAAGCGAAAAGATTTTAAGCGCGTGTAAAAATATGCGAAACATTATTTTTTTCCTTAAACATATTTTTTCTAACTCTACTTCCCGAGCACCTTGCGTATTATCGATATTACGACACAGAATTTAATCTATTATCGATAGTGCATTAAAAGTGCTCCTAGTACATCGCGCAAACGCGACGGCAGTCGTTTGGATGATCCGGGGATTATGTGTGAATTTTAACGGGATGGAGGACCGATGAGAGCGAAGAGAGATGCAAAGTATACTCCACATACATGCAGACGAGGGAGATAAAAATAGTGTAGAGCAGTGAGTCGAGTGTAGACAGGGCGAGGTGAAGGAATGAGTCATGTGTGCTTAGTACTCTCGAATAAAAACATTTTTCCATCCCATCCCGGTACACAGTGGAGAGGGTGAACCACCCCAAAAGTGGAACGAGCGCCGTTCTGCGGTGACTGGTCATTAGGGAAAAATCTAGCACGCAGGAATTCCCGCAAAGCTAGTATCCATCGTGCGCGTTTTACGAGCCAAAGGGCTTCGTGAAAACCATCCAGATTCGGGAGTGCCGGCATCAGCGCAGAGTATCTAATCTCCCCCATTTTATTTAACCCTCTTTCGCGTCCTTCTCTTAACCGCACTTTCCCTCACTGTCAGTCACACTCGCACCTTCAACGATTCCACGTTGAACTACCAGTCATCCCCTGGTGCCTAACTGGCGCATAGCCTCCAGTACTGGTATCGTTGTTTCTCTAACGGCTGAATATTAATTCTTTCTGTTTTCTTGACGTATCGACGTTCTTCGGTTAGTCTACTTTGGGCCGAAGAAGAAAATAGACGCGATAGAGAGAGAGAGGGAGAGAGAGAGAGAGAGAGAGAGAGAGAGAGAGAGAGAGAGAGAGAGAGAGAGAGAAATAAGAGAGAAGTAGAAAGTAGTGGAAGTACAGATATAACGATATAGAAATCATATACGCCTGTACCGTAAATACGGCCTTAGCAATTTACCCTGAGGAAGAAAAACTCCTTTGCGAGAGCACAATGCGAGCAATCTCGGATTTTTTTCGCAAAATGGTGTACCATTCCTTCTTCTATACTTTTCTCCTCACCCCTCATATTTTGCCCCCATACACGGATACCCTTTGCCTAGTCCTCTGTCCTTTATTCCTCTCATTTATTTCTCCAGTTTTATCCTTTTTTCTTTCTTCATCGATAGGTCCGATCGGAACGCGAGTTGCCGATATTGCCACCGTTCCTTCTCTCTCTCTCTCTCTCTCTCTCTCTCTTTTTTGCTCATGCGTCATCTCACGTAGAAAAGACGAGGATAGCCGGTCGGGGCCACAGTCGGACACACTTTATTGGATAGAGATTTTTACTCGTGACTGGTTTCTATCGTCTCCCTGACTCCCGGAAAATAGGTTACATGTGCTCTGATGCTTTGCTGCTCCGAACCATCTAGGAGTATCAGGAGCTATACACCAGCTTTACCTTTAGGTACAGTAGGGGTCTCAGTATGGCATCCCCTATCCTCGCGGTCTCCATCCCGTTTCAGAACACAAGTCTCGCATTTATTACGGTTACGAAAGAAACATTTCGCTCTATTTACGTCGGAGCATTTGCCCGTGGCTAATTTTATTGCGCACGCCTTGGCTAGAGTCCTCCCTGCTCCTGCTGGGATGTACAGGAGGAATGTATCAACCTACCTTTGGGTGGCTGGAGACACTGCGCGGATCCCGTGGTTGGTGGAGACAGAGGGGTTGGATGAAAGTTTTCGAGGACTTTCAACACGTGGCCGTCCCACGGGTCTTCCTCCTGTTAGAAGAGACGGGACTACCGACTCCTGATGGGATCTGCTTCTTCCCAAGGATTCCAGGCTGTGCCTTCAGGACCCGCAGTCAATTTTATTTAAACACCAAAGAATTTACTCCCAGCCGGGGTTTTCGATCGCTAACGGAAATCGCTTCTATTCGCACCTTTATCAACCGGAAATGGGATACGTGTAAGACAGAGAGAGAGAGCAGGGAAGTCTTCCGGTCTCTGATCCTGGATTGGGAAAGACTTTAGGATTTGTTTGAACTCATGTAGGATAAGTTTAACCGATTGTTCGCGAGACTCTAGGAGGATTTATAGAAGCAGGACTTTCGATTGCACCGGAGTCCTTTCAACCATTGCAGAACTATATATATATACGTTTGCCAAAGAGACACTTTGGGCACACGAAAAATTAAGGGGCGTTCACAATAGCAAGCTAATGTTTTCTTTTAACGAAATATTTCTAAGCCCGTCACAAATACTGGATGCCTAACATTGAGAAAATATAAACAAATTTGGTGAGACAGTCTGTTTATGGTCCTCAAACCGGTCATTACGCTGGAAAATCTTTGAGAACGGTTCCCCAAATTACTATTTCTTCTCAAAAGAGCAACTTCGTAAATGAAATGATCCCCAAAGTATCTCCCAGCAAAAAAATATATATAGTAAGATTTTCAATGGTTTGAAGGAAGCATCTACCACCCTTAGTGAACATCTTAGGGTAAGTATAACGGGTCTAAATTTTTTCAAGGATTTGAATTTATGGATATGGGTACCCCTTAACTTTCTTTACTTGCCTTCTCTCGCAAGGATATTTACGCAAGACTATTGTACATATACCACTTGATGATCTTCTATGTAGAAAGATATGAAACATAGAGATTAACTTATGCCGTAAAGGAAGGCGGCAGGAGGACGAGGTGAACCAATCATTCATCTTGATCCTTTGGAGTGTAGTTCATTTAAAATTCACAGGACGATTCAAGCCACAAGAAACAAAGAAATCAACAGAGATAGAAAAAGCGAAATAGCAAGACAATAAAAGATCAAGGGAGATAGACACTAAGAAGGTGACGTATCTTTTTTAAAATTCAACTCCTCTCACCAGAGTCCCATGCGCCAATGGTCCTCTGCAAGTCAAGATTTATCCGGATAGCTCGTGGGCACGTATTTAAAGGTACGTATAGAACGGGATGAATCAAAAAAGGCAAAAGGATGAAATTGGCGACGGGGCGAAACGTGAGAGCCATTGAACGGGGTATCGCGGGAAAGAGAGAAGCAGAGAACGAGCATAAATCGAGGCTCGAACCGTGAAATATCGTTGGACATATCAAAAGGAGGCTAGTGGATGCGTCCCGTACACGCGCGATTCGAATTATTAATGTGAAAATGCAATTTTTCTGCTATCCGATCCCGCTCTTCAAACCAGTACTAGTACTAGTACAAGTACGGACACCAAGACCCATACCAGTTGCAATATCGATACCAGTACGTGAAGTGTCATTCAGTACTCGGGTTTCGTCGCACGTTGATCTACCGATTTTTCATTAATGAAGATATTTCGCTATTTTTATCTCCTCCTTGTATTTAGCCCAGAAATGTCTCCGTGGTGACTTGGCAATTACCTTCCTATTAGAGCCAGTCACTTGATCTTCGAGTGGCCATAAACAGGCCACGTGACATGGATATACGGCCGCCGTCTAACGAAAATTTCTCAAATTAATTTCCAAGATGTGTGCCAAGCAAATTTCTCTCCTAACCTCACGCCTCCGACTCCCTTTATGAAGTTTCCCATGTTTCCGTCCTCCCCTTCTTCGATCCATACCACCTTTCGTGTTTTAAAAAAAGTCCTCCGAGGTTCCGCTCTCGTTACGGCGCACCAGGTGATTTTCCACTTGGCACGAGAGACCCCTGTTCAAAACTTTCTTTTAGGAACCTACTTGGAGCTATTAGCCATCTACCCAGGTAATGTAAGGTTATGTACTCTTGATGATGTCTGACCCTTCTAACTAAATTTATATTATATGTATAGCATTACATCAGAAAAAATATCTCATATTGCACTCGAGCTTTTAATACTATCAGTATAATGCCTCTGAATATATGATATTTTATGAAAAGAGTTCCAAAAAATATGATTTACATGAAATAATATACCACCGAGAGGTATGTCGACTAAATGGGGTGGTTGTAGGAGGTAGACGAGTGGTTGAGTGGATGAGTGTGTTTTCACAGGGTTGCCAACATTGAATATAGATAGATAGGTAGGTAGACCTTATTCTCCGAATATACCATAACTGAGGTAGAAGTATGGCAAGGTCTAAAAAATTTTCATAATTATCGTCGTGCACGAAGGTGATTCTGTGCCTAGTCTAAGGTGAAGAGGGAGTATAAAAACGAACAGGGCCAGAGAAATATTAGAGAACGAAATAAAAGAAGTTACGAGGATGTCGACGAGGAGTATCAGGTGGTCTCAGCGCTTTTTCTCTGTTTCTTTTTTATAACTCTCTCTCTCTCTCTCTCTCTCTCTCTCTCTCTCTCTCTCTCTCTCTCTCTCTCTCTCTCTCGCGAGAGACAGACGTGCTTGAGGATCGCTCCGCCTAAGAGTTAATTATTGAGTGGAATAAGTCTGTGAAATTGTGTGAAAGATGAAAC